GGCCACAGAGTCTTCTATAAACACATAATGTGAATTATTCAACAAATAAACACATCCAACACCAACACACACACAAACAACATATATTGTTTTTGTGCTCATTCAAACACACACACACACACACACACACACACACACACACACACACACACTATTCACCAGATAAACACACACAAACCTGTCACTGGTATCTCAGAAGCCATGAGACGCACATGTCCACACACACACACACAGAGAGAGAGAGAGAGAGAGAAGTGTGTGGATTTTATTATTGAAAGGAGAAAAAAAAAGGCTGATGGATTGAATTCCCTTCACACACACACACACACACACACACACACACACACACACACTTCATTTTGTCTCATCTTAAGTGGATTTGTCTGTTGGTCAGTTCAGTAGAAGGTGAAATATAAACTGCGTTACACTCGATGACGGGGCGACACCTACAGTGTGACGGAGGAACTGCAGGGAACTAGAAGAAGAGAAGTTCCTGGTTCCATAAAGGTTCCTTCAGGGTGCTGTTGTTCTTCAGGGTGTTGTTGTGAGTGACTGATGGTTACTTATTTGTACTTTATAACAAAACCGCCGTGAAACAATCAGGAAAACACAAAGAAATTCAGTTAAAAGTGAAAGATAACAACAAGCAAGAAGCAGAGAATGTATAGAAATTGAGCTTGATTAGGAATTTATGTACCATGAACGTTGTTGGTTAATATTCTAGTTAATTGAATGATATTTTTCTTGCCGTGTACAGCCTGGTACCTCCCCTAATCACACACACACACATCGCTGGCAGACACAACAGCAGCAGAACCAAAGAACGTCAGTAAAAACAATAAATAAATCAACAACGTTATCAGAAACAAAAGGACGAGGAAGACTTTACCAGGTCGCAACTCATTCATTCAATTAATTGCCAAAAAAAAACAAGGTTAGGTCTTTACAATTGTGAATAAAATAAAGAAAATTGTGAATAAATTCCCAAATAAAAGCAACTTCAGTCTGACTTACAGTCCAAAAGATAAAAATATTTAATAATATAAAAACACATGTGTGAGAAGCCGGAACCAGAGAATGTTTAGCATTTAGCCTCATAAATAATTAGAATTATTGTTATTATTATTATTAGCTATTATCTTAATAGTAATCTATAGATTTTATCTTTATTAATCAATTGATTATTTAAATATCGCAGTGGTGGAATGTATTTAATGTAACATTTTAGCACATTCAGATTGTAAATAAAAACTATAAAATAAACAAATACATTACACTGTTATAAATGAAGCTATCCAGCACTTCATATAGTGACGTTGGCGCTGGTAGTCCAAGGATTCAGGGTGTATATCCGTGATGTGTTTACATCCCGCCATACAAATACCCACGTCACATCCTGCGTCGTCATCTCCGGGTAGCAGGTTGTTCGGGGGCTGATTAGCCGCCATCTTTTGTCCACATTAGCTAGCGTAACTACTTATCACTTCTGCTCATTTCCATGCCGACACCATTATGTTACACACCCTTAGTAAAAGTTGTTTGCATATACATTGTAGCTCCATTCAGAGCTTTGTACTAACGTTCGTCTGCACGCCGCTGAGCAGCGAGCCACCGCGGGCATGACCTGTGAACCCTTCGCTAAGCCCCGCCCCCTGTTAATATGACTCCTCCCCTAGGACGAGCGACGGTCGGTGTTGTGTCAAATATTGTTACCCTGTCGATATGTGTCTCCTCCTGACGTTAAACTAAACCCTTATTCCCTACATTCACCACCAATGAGGGAGTTATTATTTTAACACACAGTTTTAACAACATGGAAACATATGGAAGCCCATTTCCGGCAGCAAAAAAAAAAAATAATTCAAATTATTATTATTTTTATGCTGGTGGAAAAAAAGTAAAAAAAACGATTTTTTATTTTTTTTTTTTACTTTTTTTCCACCAGCATAAAAATAATAATAATTTGAATTATTTTTTTTTTTTACTTTTTTTCCACCAGCATTAAAAAATAAAATAAAAAAATGCAGCAACACATTTGGTGCATCCACCTGTAACCATAACTGACCAGATGTTTCCAGTTGCAAAGTAGAAAGTCTAAACGATGAGTCTCTTCATAGGTTTCTCTACATTTGACATATACATGGATTGTGAGTACATTGAAGACTTCTTTAAACGTGGCTTTACAACAGATGAAATACTTCAATTGTTGATGTTTCACATGGATTGTACCGAGCAAACACCCGTGAATAGAATGTTAAGCAAGAAGCAGCTCTGGAGTATAAAGAATGAAACCAATGTGGCTGAGGTGAAGACCTTCAATAAACAGCAACTGGAACTTTTTTTTTTTTTTTTTTTTTTGCTGGCAGAAAAAAAGTAAAAATAAATAAATAATAATAATCTTTTTTTTTTCTTCTTCTTTTTTTTTCTTCTTCTTTTTCGGGGGGTGGATTTATTTTTTTTAATTTTTTTTTTTATTTTTTTTTTTTTTTTTGGCTTCCGGAAATGGGCTTCCATAGGAACACGACTCCACTAGGGAACAGACTTTTATATAACACCTGGCTTTGAAGCAGATTTTACACTACCGTGTAAAAATTCCGGTTCCGCCAAGTGACGTCGTTGGGCCCGGTAACGAATTTTCGTATAACCTCAAATTGAGAAAGAGACGTCTTTTTAACGCATTAGATACATTTTTTAATCACTACATTTTTTTTTTGTGGTTAATTAAATTCTTAGTACGAATACTTTGAGCTGGGGTTAGTCATCTTCTCCAAAAAACATTTTGTTATATTTTTAACATTCAAATTAAATATTTTTTTAATAGAGTGGGTCATGCCTTCTCAAGAATAGATTTCGTAACATTGCGACCCACCCTACTCCGCCTTACACTGATATTCTTACCTTTAACCTAACAGGCCCAAAGTGTGTCAAGGGCCCACCTGGCCTTCACCTTAAAAATGTCAACTCAAAGAGACACGAACCAACCAGGGAGGGACTCAAAATGACATCAAAATAAAACAACAAAAAAGAGAAACAAAAAGATTATAAAGAGACCAAAACAACTACAAACGACACAAAGCAACTACAAAGAGACACAGAACGACAAAGAGACACAAAACAACCACATTGAGATGCAAAGTGACTACAAAGAGGACAAAACAACTACACAGAGACAGATACAAGCAACAAAAAGAGGCTGAACAGCTATAAAGTCTGTTTCTTGCTCTTACCTGTGACAGATGTTAAGAAGCCACCAAACTAACCCTGCAGCTAAATATTCTCGCATGTTGAGGGGCGTTGCGTGAGTGACTTATTTTGCATATTCTGATTTCTGCACTTAACTGCAGAGCTGGGGTGTAAAATAACCAAATCTGCTGAATTGTATTAATCAATAAAAGCTTCTCTTTGGAATATGTTTATTATTTTGTTACTACTTCAGACCAAATGTGATCTGTACAATGACAAAATATTAAACCTCTATTTGAACTTAAGCCATAAAATCAGGCAACACAAAATTAATATATTCCCTTTTTGCTGCAACAACTAAAACTTAAGTTATGTTTTGACTGAGGACGTGTAGAGCTCTGCCTCCCTCTAGTGGTCTGACACACACACTACACCCACATGGTTATTTGAATGCAGACAACTATAAGATTGATTTATTGTTATGATATTTTGACAAAGTTGCTGTTACACTCTGAGATAGTGGGAGGAATAAAGGATTCATATTGTGACCAACTTACTTTGAGGAGATGATGTGAAACTTCAGAACATTTTAAAATTACACTTTAAACCTGAAAATAGTCATTAAACCTGTTTATTGATCCACTGCTGCGTCTGCTCATGGGTTCAAGAAAGCGGCTCCAATACAACACAGTCAGCACTTTACTTCACAGTAAAAATCTGTAAAAACACACACACACACACACACACACACAAAAACACCTTAAATAGCAGCTGTTGTGCAGCACACACACACACACACACACACACACACACACACACACACACACACACACACACAGATAATAAATGGAAAAATAAAAGAGAAATCACGTTTAAAAAGGTGTCAAGTGTTGTATTTACTCTTTAAAGGGAATTTAACTGAATCTGAGACCTCAAGATCACATTTATACAAAAAAAAAGGGGATAAAAAAAAAATATTTACCGTCTCAGGAAACAAAGGATCAATTAACTCAAAACAAATCAATGTAAAAGTCTCAGTTTTCAGAAGGAATGAACATAAACATTAAAATAAATGAGAACAAACGTACAAATTCACATTATGATGAGACAGCATGAAAGATGAACTGCTGATCTACATTCAGAGAGGAAAGAGAGGTAAAGAGCCTCTAGATGAGCATCTCAGTAGTCTGATTACATGTTAGAGTTCCAGTTGCTAGGCAGAATATCAATAACTATCAACATCCTGATATGAGACTAGATATCGTCTTAGATGTTTGATATGCAGTACGGCCACTTAGTCATAATATCCACATTACTCAGGATTATTTATCACAAATCGAGGTATTTGATGTAAATATATTGAGAGATCTGATTTTTTTTCGTATCATTTTACAACTAATGATTTCTTCTAATAAATCGATACATTCTTTCGTTGATAAAATGGTTTAATGGAGCCCAATGTGACGACTTTACATTAAAACAGTCCCAAAAAGATCTTAAAGAGGATGATGTCATCGTAGTGATCGACAGAAACGATTGCCTAAAAGTACCAAAATATCCCCCAAATATCCCCCATGTTGAAGTGAACTGGAACTAACTGTGAAGCGAAGTTATTAATGGGGGGGGGGGGGGGGGGGGGGGGGGGGGGGAGTTCCATCGAGATCAACTTGAATTTCAAAAAACGCCTTAAAAACGAAAAGAAGCTGAAATAAAACAAATTAAAAACCGTGTGTAACAATATTTTGACTTGTAGTCTTCAAGCTGCAAACTGCTTTTTTTTTAATACTAAGTTTTGAATAAAAGAGGGAACCGGGGGGGTCACAGCTCCGTCTTCTGCCCAGACAGAGGCACCCGTGGCTGGATCTCCTCGTCCGCCGACGCCCCTCCGTCGGCTCTCTCCACCGGAGCTTTACTCTTCTTCTTCTTCTTGGCCTTCTTCTCGTTCTTCTTCTTCTTGGAGGTCTTCTCCCCGTCCGAGCCGCCGCCGCCCTCGCCTCCTTTCTTCTTCTTCTTCTTCTTCTTTTTCTTCTTCTTGTCCTCTGCGATGGCCGCCTGGTCGCCCTTCTTCTTCGGGGACCACTCCTCGTTCAGGCAGGCTGGACGGAGAAATAAAGGAAAGAAGAAGAAGAAGATATCTAGGTGAAAGTGAAGTAAAAGAAGAAGAGAAGAGACTTTTATATCTGTGTTTTGTTTACCTCTGTCCTGTCCTTTGAGGACGTGCTTCTCACACAGATAGGTGGTGAGATCCTCCTCCTGGTTTCCTTTGTACCAGTCCTCAATCACGTCCTCGTACTTCTCTATCATCACGTCGCACTGCAACACAAACACTAGCTGTCAGATTCAGGACTTTTCCTTCCCTTTCAGTGAAAACGGGGATCTTGAACGCACCTGCTTTTTAAGGTCGGCCACTTCCGCCGAAGTCTCGTTCCACAGCTCGAAGGGAATGTCCATCACCACGTTCACGCCTTTGTTCACCAAACCGTGGAGCGTGGAGAAGGTCTCCGACATGCCCTGCAGACAGATACGATGGAGCCGTCAGACAGGACACAAACTTCACACAAGCTTTTATTTACAGGCAGCACCTGGAGGGCTTTTATTTTGTAGTAGCTGCTCGCCTGTGACATACAAGTGTTGACGTTAAATTAGCCACCAAGCTAACTTAAATCTTGATCGAAGTTATTTACAGAGAGACACGTCTGCTTTAAAAACGCTGATAAGTAGTAAAAACAAAAATGTAATAAAATGTTTGTTTTTAAAGTGCAACAAAAGCTGAAAGCAGGTGAACTGCATCATGGGAAATGAAGGTTTTGTGTCAAGATTACTCTGCTGATCAAAATGTTTTTGTCAGTCTGAAACATTACAGGGGAGCAACAGACTTCAAGTAAGAGATTGAGACCATAAACTCATGTTTACAATGTTTACTGAGGTAATAAATCAAGAGAGAAGTAGAGTCATTTTCTCATAGACTTCTATACAACCAGAGGAGTCGCCCCCTGGTGGACACTAGAGAGAATGCAGCTTTAACACATGACGCTTTGACTTCACTCTTCAGAACCGGAGGTTGCTGCTTGGTATGAACCCATTGATCCCATGTTAATATTTAAATATCAGTAGAAGCTTTAACATGTTAGAAACAAGGTTTCTTAAAATGCAGCTTTACCCGACACTTACCATCAAACTGTAGCTACACAACAAGTTCAATAACAGCAACAAACCTCAGTAACACACACACACACACACACACACACCTTGGCAAAGCGGTTACTTCCACTTCTCTCTTTGTGCAGATTGTACGTCAACAGCCTCTGACACACATTTTCTATCACCTCGATGAATCGGAGGTCTCTGTGGTGACAAAGAAAGAATTCAGGTTCACCTGCAAACGGATCAGATTTAAAAACATAGACACAGGTTGACGGTGTCAGACTTTTATTTGATTATTTCAGTGCTGTTACAGGTGAACCTTTGAGTTAAACAGCATGTTGTTGGCTCCTCAGCACTTCAACTGTTTACAGAATGTCAGGTTCAGTGTGTTTGAATGATGCTCACAGTGAGAGACACAGAAAACATAGATGAAACCCAAACACAGTAAAAACATCTGATTTCTGTACGGCCACAATCAATTTTAGTTGATTGTGGACGTACTCACGCCTATACCCCGCTCTCTGTCACACTGTAACATCAACACTCACGACTTGACGTATTTGATGGGCGGCGCCCCCTTGCTGTCGATGAAGCGGTAGTTCCTGCCGATGACCTCTTTGGTCTTCCCCGTCTCGTCGAACGCCGACTTCATCTCGATGCTGACGAACTTACACACTGGAGGACGGAGACGGAGAGAAGAGAGTCAATGACAACACAGATGAGTATTTATTTATAAAGTTGTCTTAAACATTCAGGGAGGTTTTAGTCTGCAGCCAGCGTGCCATTTAAAGCTGGTATTATCAGCTGATTTATGCATTTGACACATATATGAGGGCAGATCAGTAAATTACTGTACAGAAATGTCTAAATATGTTTAAAATTATTTTAAAACGTCATTTTACAAATTATATAAAAGTAATTATGTTTAAAACAAATATTGGCAGCTTTTTGTGACAATAAAAAAAATATATGAGTATAAAAATGCACAATATATTAAATTAAATTAAAAGAGTAAAAAATGTTAAATATAATAAATGCACAATATATAAAATAAAAGAGTCAAAAATATTAAATGTAAAAAATGCACAATATAGACAATGAAATGGAATAATATATATTGTGCAGTTTTTACATTTATATATTTAATATTAATGCAATTTGCTCTTCGACTAAATTAAACAACTCATAGATGAAGACCGTTAACACCATTTGGTCTCAAGAAGAAGCTATTTAGAGGATGTTGTTGACATTGTGTGACCAAGCCGAATGTAAACAGTGATTATTGTGGTAACATCCGCCATGTTTTAGTGAAGTTGAGCCAGCAGACAGGTACACTACAGTGACATCTTCTTTATTCCTCATTCACGTCCTCGGACCCTGGTTGAGGTTTACCTTCACATTTGTTGGGGAGATAGACCCAGTCATCGTCTCCTGCGGTCTTAGCTGCTCCGACCGACGAAAGTATGGAGAAAAACGATAAATACGCCGCTAAAATCATATCGTCAGCTTTGTTCGACTCGTTATCTACTCATAAAAGTCGGTTTATACATTAAAAAAGGCTTGAAAAGGACCGTTATCGCTCAGTTTCTACATCCTCTTCCTGGTTCATCACAGCTGCAGCGAAATGAAGAAGCGACTACTTCCGCTTTGAGCTGAGGGCCAATCAGAACGGTAGAAGTGGCAGCAGCTGGACCAATGAGAGGCAGAGGAGGGCCAAAGAGAGGAATAAATAAGAGAGAGGTATCACTCTGTGCTGAATACGAATAAAACTCATTAATTTGACCTGTTTATTATTATTAATGTAAGGGGGTGAGTGGCTGTTGTGGAATGTAATTCTGTGTATTTACTGAAGTACTTAACTTAGGTACATATTCGAGGTATTCTCAGAGGTAAATATTGTACTTTTACTGCATCTCAGAGGTACATATTGTGGACCAACACACATGAATTAACACCAATGCTAGGGAGTAACTCCTCTTGTTTATAGACTATCTTTGGCCTCAGTGTTACCAGTTGTTTTGTAGTTTTTTATTTCATCCAACAGAGGGAGCCATGCACAAACCTAAAGCGCAATATGTTACTACAGGTTATGTAATATTGAATTTAGAACAAACCCTGTGTGTGTGTGGGCGTGTGCGTGTGTGTTGGTGTGTTTGTGTGCGTGTGTATTTTGCCAAGTCAAGACCATCAGTTGCCAATGGCGAAATGCTGCCATTTGATTGGTTTGGGGTCACTGGACATGCTTTTTTAGCCGATAGCCTTCGACCAGCTGCACGCGTCAGGTGTGCGTGATTGTTTAATGTGGGTGAGGTAATTCAAGAGTTGTTATCTTTAACAATGATATCAATCATTAATACTTAATATAAATAGACAGCAGTGAAACTGTCATGTCGTTCCGTCCCTAAAAAGAGCATCAACACAAACAGTTATTAATACAATCTCTTTTTAAAGAGGCACTCATTGCAGTCTAGCCTATGGCTTATTGTCAATTAGGTTTTTTACATTCTAGGGATTCTACATTCATATGTTGGTGGATAAACATAGTTAGATTACCTTTAAACAAAAACTAAACAGACAGCTTAAAGAAACCCAAACCTGCAATCACGAGTAATCATACTACCTCATCTCTGGCACTGCTGTTACATACTAGCATTGTTTTTGTTGTATTGTGCTGCCCATGTTGCACTATAGTGTTTGTTGTAGCATCGTACCGCTAACATTAGCCCACTGAATTGTATAACAGAAAAGACAAGTAAGTAGATAAAAGAAAGTAGATGAACTGTTGCAAGTATACGTGCAATGTGCGAACATACTTACCTGTAGAGGAGTCACATGTATGCCTCGGTGCACGTGCATCCTATAATATATTGCGATTTTGTGCGCTTGAATGCATTCCTGTGTGTGTGTGTGTGTGTGTGTGTGTGAGTGAGAGGGAATAAAGCGATGTGTTTCTCAGTAGTTCAATAATAGTACAGTTTTGCTGAGAGGTGCATCAGTTTACTGCCAAAAGGACAGCCAGCTTCTCATTCCACAGCGCACACACACGCACACACACACACACACACACACACACACACACACACACACACACACACACACAGATCGCTGTGTGTCTCATAGCAGAACTTGACACTGAGTTGGTGGAGGGGAGGTTGATGAAGAGAGAGAGAGAGAGAAAGAGTGAGCGAACGAGATGAAAGCTGTATTTTATTCAGCAGTGCAGCCCACACAACGGGCAAGCGAGGGCTTTGTTAAAAAAGAAATAACTCATCTCTCTCGTCTCTGCTCTCCTTTTCAGCTGTTCCTTGAATAAAATAATAATACATTCAGATTATATAGCAGGTTGTTGAAAAGCTCTCTCGCTCTCAACTCATACGGTATGAAAAGAGGCGGCTTCTTTTTACAGTTTAAAACCAACGTGTATGCAAACACAGAACACACGACAGTGAAACAGTGACACCAACCTGGTCACTAAAAGCATCCCAGACAACAGAGAGAATAGAGGTGACTGTGGTTAGAGGCTTTGTATTCAAACAAAAATATGTCTTCATTGAAAATCTGAATGCTCCTCTTCTCTGGTTAGGGTTCATGCATTAAAAAAACTTCTGCTACATCATTTACTCAACATTTTCCTACCTTTACATAAAAAAGGAGTCTTGTTTTGGGAAATATTAAGATGAAATTGAGCCACGACCCCCTTAATTCCTGTTGCTACGCCTAACAAGCTTTCAATTTTAGGAGTGCACGTGTACAGTTTATAATAGACACGTTTTTTTTCTGTGTATTTAGCCCAAATTTAAACATTTTATTCTGTCAGTTGTAGCTAGCTGGCTACTTACATCATTTTGTCCCGGCTCTGTAAAATATCTTCGTGTGCTGTAGCTTTAACAACTCCATCTATTCACCCTTGGCT